AGAGAAAAAACAGGCAGAGAGAGAGTTTTATCTGCGTGCCTCAGAATAACCCACCCACACGAGTACTGCTGAGAATTCCTAAAAAGCCCAGGGCTGCCTGCCTAGGTGTGACTCCTAGCATGTCCTAGGTGTGATTTCAGGGAGCTTGTTTTGGAATTCCAGCCTCTCCAAAGCCCATGAGATACCGTGGGCACTGGAGAAGGGATCTGCTCCGTGCTGTTAGGGACCAGGACTTGGCACCTCAGTAAAGGACAGGGCAGCACCTCATCCCCAGTGCCTTGGCATGGGGATGTTGTTGGAGGGAGGGAGGGGGGAAGCCTGCCAGGAGCAAGGAGCCTCTGAGCCTGGATCCATAAAATCCATGGCAAAACAAAGATACTGCTTTACCTAAGTGGGCTGTGCTATAAACCTGCTGGAGAGGAGAGAAGACCTTGCTGACAGCTCTGCTGGGCTGCATGTGGTTGTTCTCTGCATTAGGCAGGCAAATTTCCAAGGCAGACAGGAGACATTGCTTTCTAATCTCCGTTTGATTCTGTTTTCTTCCATGGATTTGGATCAATATCCTGACTTAGACATTTTCTTCCTTCTCCTTCCTCACTTTCCCAACCCCCTGTCTTCCTCCTCCGTGATTTCCAGTACATCTATCCCTGATCTGTACTGAACGTCACCCTCTGGATTTGTTTTCAAGGGGATACCCATGGCCCTGGCGCGGGTTGGTGGTTTGTTTTCTGACAAGCCCGGAGGCACAAATCAAGACAAAAGCCTCACTCTACCCATCACTCTATGAATATGTGATAGGACATGTATTCACATACTCATACAGATCTACAGACCCTTTGATCTAAACCCGCTGCTTTGATTTCGTAATATTAAATTCCTTCTGTACTTCAGCTCTCATCCTTTTCTTAGAGACAATAGTTTCAGTGCAACAAGTATTTCTCCAGATGGGAGAGCCTTTTTTCTATCATTTCTTCCTGGACATCATTCTTCCAAAAATCACCTTCACCTGTCTTCTCTATCTCACCCATTCACCTGCTTTTATGGTCCGCAGTCCTCTCAGTTCCCACCTCAATATTCCTCCTCAGGGTTTGGCATAAGATTTCCTCCATGATCTCTTTCCAAGGGCAACCCTGTCCACACTCACAAGCTCAGCTCTTCCTTAACTCAGCTGAGCTTACGATGGCCAATGTCCCCTTTTCTTTATGTCTTCATGCCGAGCTTCACTAGTGTCCTCAGGACACTTCATCAGAAAGTTTTGCTATTAGCTCAGTAATATGGACCTTTCTTTCTTGAAAAATCCTCCTTCCCCCTGCATTCCTGGCCTGAACATGTAGATATATGTAGATACACATGAGTGTGTGAATGTTGCTTGTTTCTTGGCTTACCCCCACCAGCAGGGAAGGTGAGCTCTTATTTGTCCACTATATGCTTGTGGTAAAGGGCAGAATTGTTATCTGGTAAAAAGATAGCTCCAAAGAACGGGAATTAGGCCTATGACCAAATCCATGTCTGCTCGCAGATACAAAGGTCATATCAGCAGAATGATGAATGAATCAAAGGGACTTTTCTGTAGGCGTCTGGGAGTTTCTCATTTACTGTTTTAGTTCTCCCAAGCTGTTTTTCAGCATGAGGTCACTCAGACCTTTCGTTTTATTCATTTAAAGAAAGATCTCTGTATTAGCAGGAAAAAAAAAAAAAAAAAAAAAAAAAAAAAGAAGTAACGAAATTGTGATTCTTTTCCTGCATGTGATGTTAATTACCTGCAATGTTTTGTGTAAGACGGATGATATTTTAAGAGTCAGTCACACCAAGAGCAGTTTCCACTTGCCCGTGCGGTTGTTTCCTGCTCTGTTGTAAACTGAAAGGATTAAGCACACCCTTAGCCAAGATAAATTTGAAATACAGTTCTGCAGTTATTTGAATCTAAAGGTAGCATTGATTATTTAATTATGTAGAAGTGATCCAGATGCTGAGCATTTACTACAGATTAATGACTGCCCCGGAGCAGTTAATGGGCCTTCTCTCTGCCATCAACACAAGCTGGTTATTAATCCCTGGAAAATGGCTTGCATAACAATCATAACCTGCTGCTAAAAGTTTATAAATAGATAAAAGTGTCATATGGATTTACGAGTGGTGGGGCTGAGTGGGATCTGTGTGGCGTTTCTAGTGAATGAATGCCATGGACATGAGCTCATCTGGTTGCCTGAACTATCACAAAATCCCAAGTTGCCCTTTCGGATTTGAAAATGTCATGTAAGAAAGTGCCAGGTGGCTGGAGTCCTATCTAGCGACTGGGAAATAATTCCCGTGCTGCACAATGAAGAGGCAACTTTGTTCTAATAGCAACGATCTGCCCTTTTTAACGCTTATCCCAAAATGCTTTTAAAATGCATTTAAGGGTGGTTACTCGGCTGTGCTGTTTCATTTGGTAGTATATTTTTAATAGGAAAAAAAGGCACATTGCATATATGTGCACACATAGAGCTGAATAAGGCCCTGGCTGTTCACTGAAGCCCAGCAACTGGCTCTGTGGGCACTGGGGCCTTGCTAGGCTGAAATCTGAATTATTCACATCGAAGTCTTCCAGGAAATGTTTTGCAGCCCGGTGCCTCCGCCGTTTTCTGGGCTGTTATAGCAGCGAATGGGGCATGGGCTCAGCGCTGCCAAAGAAAGCAGCTCTCGGAAAACGCGTAGCTGGCACAGCCAGGAGGGATGATTCCTGGTCCTTGCTTGGGAGCAGCAATGTTGTAAATCTGCTGTCATTTACAGCCCCGGATAAAAGCTCCGAGGAATGGAGTGGGGTCTGCACGGACATCCTGCGTGTGGGAAAAATTAGGGAAGCAGCTTCCTCAGCAGACCACAGAGCCTGAAGTAAAGAGAGAAGTTGAGAAATCAGTGTCTTTTCCAATGATTCAGACGGGAAGGGCTGCGAGGGGCCTCCCGAAGGCGGTTTTCCCTGCCCGTTAGCACCGCAGCCGGCTCTGGCTGCTATTTCAGCAGACCTGTCCGCAGGGGCCAGCACCGTGGGGCAGCTCTGGGCGGGCTCTGACCCTGCAAACCACAGCCTCGGCCTCTCCTCCGCCCCCGGATCCTGCTGCAAGGAGCCTCCCTGCCACCCTCCCTCCCTCCATCCCTCCATGGGGCTCCGGGATCTCTTGGCAGCAAATGTTCAATTTGCCCCAATCTGTAATTTTTTGGTACGTTGCTTTGTGCGTGGCAGGAGAGGGTGTATGAATAAGTACTAATTAAGTTACTACTTAACTAATTACCCTCCTGTGAACCCTTTCCACAACCAGCTTCTCCAGCTCCCAGGCCAGGGATGCGCCGTGGGCACTGCCGCTTTTCGGTGGGGAAAACTCGTGCACCGTATCCCTATCCCGGTGATAAATGAGGAGCATTTAGCTCCTCCGCAGGGTGCCCCACTGCTCCGTGGGGATCCCTGTGCAAGGAAATGCCCCATCCCTCCCCTTGGCCTCTCCCCGCAGGAAACCACCCCGAGTGCAGGGCAGAAGGAGAAGGAGAAGGATGGGGATGCTCCAGTGAGCAGCTCGGATGGGAATGCTCCAATGAGGAGCAGCGTTCACTGCCATCTAGCGGGATCCGGGAAGGGAACGATCCATCCATCGGATTTATCAGCTGCAGAAGGGACCCGACAGCAGCCCCCTTGTATCCTCTTTTCCTCCGTTTTTCTCTCAGGGGAGGGCACGACAGCCTGACGCATCCTTTCCTCCAAGGCAGCCCCATGGGACGCAGCAGAGCCCCATAGATTCCACAGGGCAGATCCCAGCTGTCACCAGCCCCATAGATCCCACAGGGCAGATCCCAGCGCCCTGCTCAGGATGTGCACGCGCAGGCACCCAACAACTCTCCACAAAAACACGTATGGAGCCGAAATATGACCCAGGAGGTGAGACTGGAGCAGGCTTGGAAATGGAGCCAGCTGGAGCAAAGTGGGAGGAAGCCCTTGGAAAAATAGAAGCCCACGGCTTCCAGGCTGCTCCGGGCAGGCGGCCTCGCTCTTGTCCACAGAGCAGGATTTGCGGAAGAACTGAGCACGGAGCCACCTCCTAGTGACACTCAGGCACCTGGTCAGGAGGAAAATTCCCTGGATTTTTGATTAAATATTTTATTTATATGCAGGTCGGACGGGGGAAAACTTTTCTCATCAAGGGGACAGTCAGATACTGCAGCAGACCCTGATGGCAAGGCAAAAACACCCCCTGCTTTAGGCTTTTATGTGAATTTTAGATATATAAATATATAAATATTTATATTATATATATATACACACTTAATATATTCATACATGTTTAATTAAACATATTTTTATATACACATACTTGGTGCTTCTGCTCTGCAGAACACCTTTCCAACGCTGTGATGTGACTTATTTTAATTAGGTTTTGGAGATTTATCTTTTAAAGTTTGTGTTTATTCATTTTGTTAATGGAAAATGCTTGCCCACTGCTTCGACCTTGTACAACACAGGGTTATTTTCCTCACATAGTTTTTTAGTGGTGCTTTTCAATAAACAGTCTCCAAAACGAAGGCTGGCATTGACATATTGTCAGTGTATTTGGAGGGGGTGCTGGCTAGATTCCCGTTTATTTCCATTCATCTATGATAAAATAAAATAAAATAAAATAAAATAAAATAAAATAAAATAAAATAAAATAAAATAAAATAAAATAAAATAAAAATAACGCAGCCGCCTCTGCCCCACGTCCCTGGGCTGCGCTATCGGCACCAAACACCCTTTTCCCGCTCAGTTTTACAGCACGGGGACGTTCGGGAGCGGGACGGAGCCGCCGCCATCGCGGCCCCTCAGCGGGGCAAGAGGTGACTACAGCTCCCAGCATGCAGCGCGCGGCCATGTCGGGGACTACAGCTCCCGGCGTGCCTCGCGGCCTGCTCCCGGGAGAACTACACTTCCCGGCGTGCAATGCAGCCACGCCCTCCCTTCCGGCGGCGGGCGGAAGAGGCAGCTGGGAGGTGGCATGGCGGGGGCCGGGGAGGCCTTGGCGGCGGAGCGGGAGCCTGAGCAGGAGCCGTCGGCGGGGCGGAAACGCCCCAACAAGAAGAAGGCGGTGAAAGGTGCGCGCGGCGGGCGAGTCTGCGGCGGGCACCGCGCCGGAGAGACGCGCCTGGCGGCCGGGGCCTGGGCTGGGCCTCCCTGCGTGTGGAGCAGATGTTTTATATATATATAAAAATATATATATATATATATATATACACAAATATATATATAAATATATATATATATACACATACACACACACATACATAAATACACACATATATATGTATACACACATATATATGTATATACATATATATGTATAATATGTATATGTGTGTGTATGTGTGTATATATATGTATATAATGGACATGTTAAAATGAAGCCTTCATGATGGAAACCTATTAGATTTTTGTGTGTGTGTGCCTCTGTGTTTGCAAGTAGCGCATAAATCTGACATATATATATGCCATACACACACACACATATGTGTATAACTCCCCTTGGATCAGTAGTTTCTTCAAAGGCCGGCAAGACACATAACGGGGTGCTGTGTGAGCCTGGCTGGGCGCCTGCCTTGGGTTAGTCTCTGCTCTGGAGTTAAGCGGGGAGGAGGGGGAACAGCCACAGGAAACCACAAGAGGTGGCTGAGCAGACGTTGTTCGTTCCGTTCTCAGTGGATGAATCTGAACTCCTCACCGTCCCAGATGGATGGAAAGAGCCGGCCTTCACCAGAGAGGACAATCCTAGAGGGCTGCTGGAAGAAAGCAGTTTTGCAACGCTGTTCCCAAAGTACAGAGAAGCCTACTTGAAAGAGTGCTGGCCACTGGTCCAGAAAGCCTTGAACGAACACGTATGAGTAGTTGTTTATTATAACACCATATTCTATTGCCTAGGGCATACAAGTATTGCATAAGCTAGTAAAAATAGTGTGGGTCACTTCTCCAGTATTGCATGTACTTATATTCAAAATACACTTGTGTTTAGAATTTATGGTGTTATATTTCAGTGGAGGCCTGTGTAGCTAGGCCTGCAGTTCCTTATGATAGTTAAATTTTCAGTGAGGCTCAGTGCAGCAGCAAGAACCTAGTAATCTAGAAGCTCATAACTCTGTTGCACCCAAGTGCAAAGAGAGGAGGGAGGGCATGATTCAGGCCTACTGACATCTATATTCAGTCTTTTTTTTTTTTATTTTTTATTTTTCTTAAGCTGGAAATCATTTTAGGAATCCTTGAAAGTGGATCTTTATTCAACATACACTGTTCTGTTTCTTAACATCTTAATGCTGAGGTATATTCAAAGATATTCTTGTTTAGGGATTAATTCACCATTTCTTGTCAAATTTACAGTTTGTGAATGCCACACTGGATCTGATTGAAGGTAGCATGACTGTCACTACTACCAAGAAGACTTTTGATCCATATGCAATCATCAGGGCTAGAGATTTGATAAAACTTCTAGCAAGAAGTGTTCCGTTTGAACAGGTCTGTACTAAATCCTGTAAGTTTGTTACAAAATGTATTGCAAGTGTTACAGAATATTACATTTGCAAAGTTTGGGACTTAGAGGTAGTCACCTGAAGTGACAGGAATGGTCCGTGGTATTTCCCTAATGCTCTAAGTCGTGCATCTGCTTCTTGTCTTTAGGCAGTCCGCATCCTACAGGATGATGTTGCATGTGATATCATTAAAATAGGATCTCTAGTAAGAAAAAGAGAAAGCTTTATAAAAAGAAGAGGACGACTTCTTGGGCCAAAGGGATCTACTTTGAAGGTATTCCCTATAGGTGTAGTGACCATGAAGTTCTTAAACCTGAATCTTTGTCAGCTTGGTGGCTTATTTCTTGTTTTTTTTTTTTTTTTTTGTTTGTTTCTTGTGTGTGTAGGCCCTGGAACTGTTAACAAACTGTTATATTATGGTGCAAGGAAACACTGTCTCAGCCCTTGGACCTTTCAGTGGGCTAAAGGAGGTAAGGGGAGACATGAACATTTTGAGCAACCAACTTCTGTGCCCAGCTCTCTGTCACCTTTATGAGAGGCAGGATCTGGCACCCTAAGAAGGGTCTTGCTGACTTCAAGCTCTGTGTTAGTAACTCTTTTTACCTTGGTGGCCATATGCTTAGCTGCTCGCTTTCCTTCTGTCCTTGAAGTAATAGGATGGCTTGTAAAATAGCCCCCCTCTTCTTCCTTATTGGGAAAGAAAGAAGAAAAGTGGGGAGGATGCCTTCAGATGTTCCTTTATCTTCCTCCATTTCTTCTGCTTGTGTTTATGTTGCCCCGAGTGCAGAATTTATGTAGGTTTTCAAATAAGAAGCTGAAGGAGTGGAAATATTGCAGTGTTAACGGCATGTAAGCTAAGGGAGTATCTAATGTTTTTTAGTAAGATGTAGGTACAGAATGGTTGTGAAAAGAAAAAAAATCACGTGATGCTGTAAAATCTATAGTAGCAGGAAGGCATTATTTGTGCTGGGATGTATTAGAAACATGACGGTCTGGTGATATTTCTGAACTAGTGTGCCTTCAGCTTGGCTGTGCAGGTTGGCTTTTTCAAGCTATCTACAATTTTGGAGTGAAGGGGAATTTTTTTAATTCATTTCCAAGTTTCACTCTGGGAAATTTTAACTCAATATCAAATTTTAATTCATTAGAATTTGATATACTTGCTATTTTTAATTCTTTTTTTCTTTTTACTTTTCTTAAATATAGGTTAGAAAAGTTGTTCTGGACACAATGAAGAATATACATCCCATATATAACATCAAGGTGAGTATGTCCCACTGTTCACCTTTGTTTCCAATAAAATACTATTTCTTACAGTAGGGCAGTATATTAAAAAATACATATTTTTTTTGTGCAGTAGCGTAGTAGTTTATTTTTTAGACTTAAAAAAAAAATCTCACTTTGATATCTTCCTTTTCCCTAGGGTATATTGCCATCATATCCTTAACAATATCTGAGAAAACACCAAAGCAAAAGTGTGCATTAACTTTCCTTCCCCTCGTGATCAATTGCTTGATGTGCTGTTATAAACAGAGGCAGCTCCTCCTGGGAGTTTTGCCCCTGTCCTGAGACATGCTTATCTTTCTGGTTCAGCTGTTCCCAGTTAACCCCCAGTGATCTCCTTACTACAGTGAGAGATAAGAGGGTTCAGGTGATGCAGACTGAGAGTTTAGTAAATGATGAGATTAGAGAGTTTAGTAAAACTTAGAGATTGGAACTCTTGGGTACTATTGTAATAGTTTTTTTTTTTTTAATTTCTCTATGACATTCTAAAACTACTGAAGACTTTGATGATCAAGAGGGAATTATCAAAAGATCCTGAACTGAGATCACAAAATTGGGAAAGGTTTTTGCCTAAGTTCAAGCGGAAGAACTTGAAGAAACGGAAGGAGCCAAAGAAGAAGAACGTTAAGAAGGAGTACACACCATTCCCACCTCCGCAGCCAGAGAGTCAGGTGAGCTGAAGTTGAGTACACGGGAGTATAACATGTTTGGGAATCTTAATCTTGGCAACAACAAGTTGGAAACCCTCTTCTGTCAAGTTCTGATTTCCTGATAGTGCATGTAGGACTCTCCATGCTATAGTACATAATTATCTCAAGCTTCTCTTTCTTTGTGTTGTGCAGATTGACAAGGAATTGGCAAGTGGTGAATATTTCTTGAAAGAAAGTCAGAAGAAACGAAAGCGAATGGAAGAGATCAAGGTAAAGTTGTTCTCACCCTTTATTTAACAAGTGTTTGGATGCTCTGAGTTTCATTTTTTGTCATTTTGCCCTGTGCTGCTGACACTTGGTCTTTTCATTGGTAACTGTAGGCAAAACAAGCAGATGCACTCAAGAAAAGACAAGAAGAAAGAAATAAAGCTTTTATCCCACCAAAGGAAAAGCCAGCTGTGAAAGCAAAGAAAGGTAACTTTTTCTTGTTCTTAAGCTTTCTGCAGCTGGTTCTTAGGCTAAGTGGTTATGTATCAATGTAACTGAAGGCAGTAAGAGAAGCCAAGCAAAGCAATCCTAACAGTTAAATCCAACCCTGGGGTTTCCAAGGAGAGTAGAAAGATCAAACAGTTCATAGCTCTATAAAATGTCAGTTTTCTATGGGGCAGCCTCGTGATGGAAGTACAGAGGCTGCCTGAACTAGCCCTTTAGACAACATCAGTGCTGAGCTTGTGAGTTGTAGTGAAGCTGCATGGCTTCTGCACTCAAATGCATGCTTTTTGTTTAAAGAAAGCCAAAAGCAATACTTCCTTGGAAAGTTGTATCACAAGTGAGTATTGACATAAGGGGTTTCTTCAGTGCATAAAATACTATACAAGTTTTCTGGGTTCGTTGATTTTACTACATATTTATTGCAGTAGATATACTTTCTAAATCCTGCTATTTAAAATACTCAAATCCTGTGCTCTCCCAGCTCTTCTGTTTTGAACTTAAATCCTTTAGTCTTCCAAGAATAAATTAAAACCATACTTTGAATTCAGAGGAGAACTGAGATCCTAAAAGGACAGCTGGTACCCACTGTGGGATGCAGGAATTGTGTGAAAAAAGGAGTTGGATCTAAACCCAGGGCTCTTGCCTGGAAGGGAAAGCACCATAACTGGGCTAGCAGAGTAGATTATTGACATTACTCAGCATTAAGCATCTACCTGCAGTGTCACTGGCACTCTCTGTGGAAATTTCATACAGAAAAAAATCAGAGTTGGATCAAAAGTGTCTCCTCCCTGCCCCACAGATTCTGTTTCCAACAGTGGCCACTGATGCGTGGCCAGGGAAGAAGTGTAGGAATGGGACAGGTGTGTGTGGAAGCTCATCCTCTTAGTTGCATGGAATAGGATAGAATGGCACGAATGGTTCTCCAGGTATAAGAACTTGCTGATGAACCTTCAGCTCCTGTCTTGGTGGGACAAAGCTCCAAGATGGCAATTATGTGTTGATTTTAATGGAATATCTAAGGAGAGGATTATGATAGTTTCTGTATGTGCAGTGTGTGGCACATTTTCAAATGCAGATGTAGAGGTTTATTTTGAATTTTGCTCAAAGATGCTTGTGAAAAATAGTTTCAATGAATGTTATTATATGGCTTGTAAAATCTTCTGTAATATAAACCAGAATCTCAACCAGTGCTGTGGGACAGAGTTTAATGTTTATAGGTATGTAGTCATCTTGCAGACTGCTAAAATGTGGAAAAAATAAAATGGATGTTTTCTATTTTTGTGCTTTTTTTACTGCATAGCCTCCACTGAGAAGAAAATTGATATTGAAGCCATAAAGGAAAAAGTAAAGAATGCAAAGAAGAAAAAACTAGGAGCACTTCCAGCGGAAGAAGTCAAACTAAAGATGGCAGCAGATGAAAAGAAAAAAAAGAAAAAGAAGTAGTTCACTACTCAAGATGCTTACGTTTCTCTTATTCTAAAAAACATTTTTGTATTTGGGAGACTTGAGACTTAAGGTTTAACCACTTACTGATGTCAGTATCTCATAAACACGCCTAAATAATGGACCTAAAGCAGCTGTGTGAAAGAGTCAGGGCTGATGAATAAAACATGCTCTGACATATTGTTTGAGAAAGTAAGAGTGTATTTTGATAATACTCCTGTTTCTACAGGGAGAGTTTTGTAATACAGTCGTTTCAGGAGGTTGGCACAAACTCTTAGACATCAGGTTCTGAGAACTCGGTGGGAGGCCAAGGTAATCTTTTTTGTGAAAGAGTATTAAACAAAAAGCAGCCTCAGTTATGATGATAACTATTGCAAAACAGACAAGATTTATTACTATATGCTTTTGTTTCTGTAAAAGCTAATTATTATTGTGTCTTGTCTTGGTGTTAATAAACTATTTTTAATAAATTTCTTCTTAATAAATTTCTTCTTAAGTTGTCTAAGTAATCATCTACCCAAAAACCTCTGTCTTGGTTTCCTGGAAAACATTCCATGGTTTAAGGTAAGAATTAAGCAGCTGTAACCTTAAAGTGTTAATCAGTGTCTATGTGTTAGTGTTAGCTTGGAGACGTTTACACAGAAGGGGTACAAAGTAGATGTCCTTCCATGTAGAATGTGCTAGAGGATAAACTGATACCTTTCTCCAGAGATAGTTATTTTTGAATAGATTGAGCTATAAGAGACAGGATTACTGTATTAGTAACCTGATGTGTCTGTACTGAGGTCCTTTAAAGGAAGCTCAGAGGTTTTTGGTTTCCTGGAATGTGGTGTGATGAAACAGTTCACATGAACAGCAGATGTTGCTTAATGTCTCAGATTAAAGAGGCAAATGTTACAGAGCACAAAATTCATGATGGTGTCTGAATGTTTTGGCCAGGTTTTAGAATTTTGATAGCCTGCAAATGCAGTGCAAATGATGTTGCTAGAGCACTGCACCTCTGCTTTTAGGTTGGTAACATTTTGTTTGAAATTTAAAAGTGAAAACACAGCCTTGTCTACACCTATAAATTAAGGACTTGAAGTAGCTATGACTGAACAGAAGCAACTAGAATTAGGGGGAGGATCAACATTGGCCTTGAGTTTCGTGATCGCTTCTTGCATCAATCCCTTCAAGGGGGAAGAATGTTCTCAATCCTCATGGCTATTTCATAGCAATAGACTCTGCTCTTCCAAAATAACGAGTTTCAGCAGGTGCTGTGCTACCAAAGGAGGAGCTGCAGCATGCCAGTTTGAATGGTGGTTGTCCCAGTGTGATCTAGTGGCTTCTTGCCCATAAATGAGTGTTTCAAAAGGAGGATCTGCAGAACCAGAAGCCAATGAGGGCAGTCTGACTATAACCTGTTTTGGGGATGCTCAGCCCAGCAATGGAGCGGAACGTGAGCAAGTTTGGGGAGGGAGAAGCCTCAGTTTTTGTCCGGAACAGGTTAGGCCCCTTTCACTTCAGAGAACCTGTGCAAATGCTCTCCTGTTTGCTGTTCGAAAGGTTAAAACTAAGAGCAAGGCTGAGGTTGATGCCGTGATCACCAGTGGTAGGTTGAGTGCTAGTGCAGCGCTAGCTTCAACTCCCCTGCAAAATGTGGCTGTTTCCCAGCTCGCTGGGCAGAGCGGTGGTGCAGGGGTGCTCGGCTTGCCCTGGTGGCAGCCTGCCCTTATCTCCATTTCCATGAAGCTGACTGAGCCTTTTGAATTTTGGTCTTTCTACCCACAGCTGTGGCATTTATGTAGATCTTGCATCAACTCTATAGAAAAATCCCTTGCAGACTTCAGGGAGTCTTTTCCTTCTCCTGCAAGAGGATGAAAAAGCTTTGCATTGTGTTCAGTCTTTTTAACTTGTTATGGCTGACAAGTTCCAAGGATTGTTGGTTGGATACTTAGTTAAACTGGACAATTAAGAAAACCCAATTCTAGCCTTTTCGACAAGTCATTAGTGTCTAGATCCAACGGGTGACTGGCTGCATACTCTTAGTGCGTGCTGTTACTACTAGTGCTTTTAGCTTCCATTTTCAGAGACAATGTGACTACAGAATTCTGACATTTATTTGTATATTAAAAAGAACCTAAAGCACAGAATAAATGCGAGTTTGGAAGGTTAAGAAAGTATGTTTGCTATTCTCAGGAGCAATTTGAACTTCTACAAATCACTCCTGCTAGTTTTGGAGGTCACAGAGTAGTGAAAAAGTAGCTGAAAGATGTTTCTTAGAGTAACAGCTTACCACATTTTGCATTTATTATATGGAAGTTGAGAGCGCATGTCTTAAAACAGGAATGGACAATGGAAGTGGTTTGGTGGTCAGGAGGGAAGTATCTGGATTTTTTGGATGTCCTTTAAAATGGTATTTTGTCTGAAAGACTCTATGTTGTAAGGTTGGTTGATTTTGGTGGTATTTTTTAGTAGTATTCCTGAGTCCCACTGATTTGTAGCTTCTTTTAATGAAGCTTTTTATTTGGAACTTCCTTAGGACTCCTGAAGTACGTGGTTAAAAAGCTGGCGCTGTGAATGTTTTGAACTTTAAGAGCTCTGTGTTTGTCCTGTTCACAGCCGTGCAGCACAAGTGAAGATTAAACCCAGCAGGAGGGATTCCAGCTGAGCTCGTACTGGCTCCCTGGACACTGTAGCACAAATCACAGCCCCAGTCCTTCTAGTTAAGGACTAGCATCCCTGCAGCAGTGGGATGGGAGCTGTAAGCTGGAGCACAGGCTCAAATTGCAGGGCTTCCAGCAGAGGTGAGGAAGCATAAAAGGGACCTTGCACCTTCCTTTACAGCAGTGTCTGCCCAAGCTCCACAGTGGAGTGTGGTGCAGAGGCACCTCGTTTCACTGCTGAAAATCTCACCCGCTGCGTTGGTGGTTAGCCCAGGAACAGGCTGCCCAGGGAGGCTGTGGAGTCTCCTTCTCTGGAGATCTTCCAAACCCGCCTGGATGCCGCCCTGTGCCCCGTGCTCTGAGTGTCCCTGCTGGAGCAGGGGGCTGGACTGGATGATCTCTAGAGGTCCCTGCCAACCTCAACCATGCTGTGATTCTGTGGTGGGTTCCAAAGGGTTCTCAGAGCTTCAGCCCAGCGTGTTTCTCAGCCCTGGGCAGGCTGGAGCTGAATGCGGACATTTTGTGAACCAAGGTAAGGCTGCCAAATGGACTTAAGGCTGCAAATACAGAATTGCCATTCAGGGGAATGAGACAACAATGGTTTATTTTTTAAAACAGCAGTAAAAAATCCCAAACGAATGTTTAAAAACACCAAACAAACAAAAAAGCAAACAGAGAGAGAAGAAAGACTGAGGCTGTACATAACCACTTGTAAACACAGATGAAACTTCCTAGCACAGACAAAGCAAATGTCTGAGAAGAGATCCTAAAGAGAGAGGTGCCAATACTCTTAGTGCATGGCGAGACTGGGGAACGTACTGCCTGCCCCAGGCCGCAGGTGCAAAACCTTACAGCTTCGGGGGTCCAAAACCAGCCTGGTGAGCATTAGATGAGCTTGCCAGCTCTGGATTACCGTGCTGCCGCTGCCGCAGCTCGCTGGGAGAGCGGCCGAGGAGCCCGCGAGGGCCGCACAGCCCTGGGCCTCAGCGGGATGAGGGACGGGCTCCCAGGCCGCAGCTCTGGGCCTCATCGGGATGAGGGACGGGCTCCCAGGCCGCAGCTCTGGGCCTCAGCGGGATGAGGGACGGGCTCCTGGGTTGCAGCCCTGGGTCTCAGCGGGATGAGGGACGGGCTCCTGGGTTGCAGCCCTGGGCCTCAGCGGGATGAGGAACAGGCTACCAGGCCGCAGCTCTGGGCCTCAGCGGGATGAGGGACGGGCTCCCAGGCCGCACAGCCCTGGGTCTCAGCGGGATGAGGGACGGGCTCCCAGGCAGCAGCCCTGGGCCTCAGCAGGATGAGGGACGGGCTCCCGGGCCGCACAGCCCTGGGTCTCAGCGGGATGAGGGACGGGCTCCCGGGCCACAGCCCTGCAGTGCCCCCAGCGCTGTGGGCAGCTCCCGTGTCTCCATGAACGGCCTCTGCGGCACGCGGGGTACCCGCCAGGCCCCTCTCACACGCTCCGCTTCACAAAAACAAGAGAAAAACAAGGGTGGGTTTGCAATGAGAAAGCTGCCGCCAGCTTTCCTAGCTGCTCCGGGGAACAAAGGTGATTGTTTTATATTTCTAAATGGTCAGTGGATGCAATCAATCCCTCTCCAGATCTTTCTACTGCCAGTACCATCTGCACAGGACGGGGACGAACTGACCTAGCTGCTCTTGCAGTCTCTCTGTGTGTGTTATTCACTGGCAGGTGCTACGGGCCGGTATTTCTGGAAGATCCAGGTGGCTGGAATCACCAGTGTGAAGAACAACAGCCTTAAAACAATAACGGAGATGCAGTACGCATCACACGCAGGTCTGTCCCAGTCTGGATACCATCTGGAATCACCTATAAACAAAACAGATTGCTTGTTTCCAGGTATATCTGCATCAAGGGCAACAAACTTGAAATAGTAATTTCAGTGATACTTACTAATGACTTTGTCACGCTCAGCATTTTCTGGAAGCAGAAAAGAAATGAGCATAAGCAGACTGACAAATCAGTAACAACTCAAGTCTAAGGAAAGGACAACTGTGAGCATCTCAATGGGCTACGAGCTTTATATGGGAGATGGATTTTTTTTCCTGCAAGAAATGAGGAGCTGTTGGCTCCAGGAAAGCCTTACAGCAACCTGTGGGGCTTTACGGAGGAGAGCTGGTTCAAACCTTGCTGTCTTCTTCCTAGAAACTGCTCTAGGAAGAGCCTGCTCCCTCAAGTGTTTTCCCAAAATTACAGTTTTTACCAACTAGTACTTCTGTCAAGGGGAACAAATGAGGGCAACACTATCTTAAACAGCAGCCACTGCACGTCCCAGGCTGTGACCGGCAGCAGCCAGAGCAGACCCCATTCCACCACTGCTTGGAGTAGAAAACAGGCCATCTTCCCCACTCCTTAAGCACCACAACAACCTTGACCTCCCAGTGCATCCTTTAGGAGCTGGAGGCTGCTGAGCATTGTATCCCACCAGCATCCTTTCAGGCGCCTTTGCTTTTCTGTGTGTCCCTGGGGAGGAGGCTGCTTGTCTGGTACTTACTGCACAGCTTGTTGGCACACTGGTCGCCGTGGCACATGCTGCACGGTGCTCCCCTCTCGTATGGGCGCCTTGGGTAGTTGCCGCTGCGTGGCAAAATGACACTGCTCTGAAACCACCCTCACGAGCAAAATGTTCACTGCTAATTATTTTTACATATGTATATTATGTTACTGCTGATTTCCCCAGCACCAAGAGAGCCTTGGTTGAGGCATCCTAACACTGTTTGGC